CGTCCTCCACAACTAGACTGAAGAACAAAAGGACAGCAACTTGTCTGTTCCCCTTCCCCCAATTCCCCAGCATTGTTCCCACCCCTCAATTCCCCAATAAAAATCTTTAAAAAAAAGAATTACTTGATTAGGTACTTATGGTCTAACACAATTTTTCATGTAGATTATAATCCAACTAGCAATCATGTATAACTTGGATTTAAAACTGAATTTATTTCTATCATCTTCCCAACAGTTAAGAAAGGGGTTTGAGCCAGATTATTTCTACATTTCTTTTCAGCTCAAAAGGTCTATAATCTTTATTAGTGTTTGTTTTGTTGCGAAAAAGTTAAACACCTGAAAATATTTTTGTGATATCAAAACAATCAAGTAATCTTATAAACATGTTTCAAATACTGTTTTTTCAAGACCATTCTACTGATTTATAGAATTTCAGCAAGCACTACTGAAGATATATATATATATATATATATATATATATATGTGTGCTTCAATATATATACAAAAGAGGGTAAACATATTGTCCTGAACTTCATATAACCTCTAGTCTAGAAAATCTAAAGAAAATGTTTTTAAGCCTAGCATGGTGAGCTTAAAATGTTAAATGGAATTACGTTTTGCAAGTATGAAAAAGCACTAATCATTCAGTTACTTAACCGAGGATCTCCCACATCACCCATACAAGAAAAGAAATTGCCAGATCACCTTGAAAATTCCACCAGCTTCAGGTTGCCGTAAAAGACCCTCAGGGTCTATTCCATCTCGGGCACAGGTCACATACATTTCAGAGTAATCCTTCCCTCCAAAGCAGCATGAGGTTGTTTTATCAACAGGCAACTTCACAGTTTGGAGTCTTTTCCCTAGATCACCAAATATTTTATTTAAAGTCTACTTCTAGCAAATTTCCAATCTGTGAAATTTTCAGGACCCTTTGCAGAGTAACAGGGAAGTTCAAAAAAGATGGTGCAGGTCAAACTTAAATCATATATTAAATCTATCTTCCCTGACAATGTATTTATTTTGAGCAAAAAGGCTTACCTCCACAGGGAAAGAAGCTGTGCTATAAATTTGGGGCAATATCTTTGGCCTTTATTTCCAAAATCATCCAGTTGAAACATTTGAATATATTGCTGTCTAACTTTATTAGTAGTGAAGTTTCTCCAGTCCCTAGTGTGTGGTGTTTTCTACACATGGCAGGGGTTTACCACTGTGCTGTGGGCCTACCTGTCTGAGGATCTAAACGAATCACTCTTCCTCCATTGTAACAGGCCACCCAGAGTTTCCCCTCAGCGTCGATACACATTCCATCTGGGATTTGTTCTTCTTTCTCCAACTTGTAAACACTTCTGCGGTTGGCTATGGTTAAAAAAAAAACAACCAAAACCATACACACACACACACACACACACACACACACACACACACACCGCAAAACAACACTGATCACTTCTGCTTATCCAGGGTCTGGCGTGTGGGCACCATGGATGGGATGGTTCAGAAGGATTCTTAACTCTGAACAATGTCCAGAAACATGAGTGGGCACCCCTCCACAAAAGATTTTTACCACATGCTTTGGGGTGGATTCATTCCTTTTAGTTTGGGTACAGACATGTCCATTTAAGCTTTCAGAGGAGAGAAAAAAGAAAGCAAAATTCTTAATAAAATATCAATAGCTCTTTTTGAAGCTGAACTGAACTAAAACCTTGCATGTCCACCTCAGATACACTTTAGTCTTGGCCATTTTACTTACAAAAATGTCTACTTTGATTAACTCCAAGATCTATAAGGCAACTTAATGGTGCCATGTGAAAAATTCATGCACAAAAACTAGTAAGATATATGTTTTTGCCCGACCGAATGCTCCAAAATCACCTTATCAAAAGTAAATTGGGGATCCCCATATAAATTATGTGAATGTCTAACCACTATGCTGTACACCTGAAACTAAATATAACTAGTTATAAAATAATATTGAATGTTAACTATAATTGAAAAAAATAATTGTATAAAAAAGTAAATATTAGAGCTTCTTTCTGAAAGGAGGGGTATACTGAATCCAACTGGCTGACCTTAAAGGGGGGAATCATAGTACACAAAAAACAAACATCAAAATCCAGAGGAATTTTACACTACAAAATCCACGTCAACACATATTGCATTGAAGTATGATGGAAAAAATTATAAAACCATGATAAGCAAAATGGGTAAAAACAGTAATAAAAAAGAGCACTTCATATTTCCTTTTTTTTTGCTATGATAATTACTCCATTATGAAGAAAAAATAATTGTACCATGGACATACATCAAAGACAGTTTAACTTAAAGGATGTACATTTAGATTTCCTGTTACAAACACATTCTCAAAAGCACTGCACATTTCAAAACAAAACATTTCTACTGTAGTGTTTTGCCTCTGATTAAATCTACACAAGTGTCTTGTAATTTTTTTCAAGTCATTTTTATTATTGGTTTTGCTCCTGTGGTTTGGCACTTTTGATGAGACAGTTTCAAGTATGCCCTTCTAACTTATCAATAATTCCTTCCCTTCCAATTTCTAACTGTGGCTCATTTAAAGCCCATATAGGGAGTTGAACAATCTGTAACTATTTTTTCTTTACTTTTCCATTTTGAAAGGTTGTTAATTTGTCTCTGAGCACTTAACTATAGTTAACAGAAGTACAAATATGAAATATCAATACCAAACTCTAATTTTCTATTCTTTTATCCTATCTTGCTGTATATTATTTGCCTTTAGGTGCCTCCTGGTAGAACAGGATCCATTTTACAGTGAGTCTCTTTATAGTGATGGTGGCAAGAAATAGGATTAAGGATCTATCCATATTATACCAACCATGGATGGCCACATTAAGTTGTGTTGAGAACCATGTCTTGACTGGCAACAGCATCAAGTCTGTGTAATCATTACTATACTGGGATAATAACAGTGGACAGCTCTCTATTTGACAAAGTAAGGACCTTTTCACATGGGTCGAGGGAGAGGCAGCTTACTAATGACATGCATATAAAAAATATGAGCAGTATTAAGCAAAATAATGAAAAAGTACATACAGATCTTTCCTGTCTGCAGGTCATAGTCAAAGGCATCCACGGAGTAGGACAGGCTGTCGATGTAATAAAAGATTTTGTGGTCCAGAGACCAATCCAAACCATTGGAGATGTCCACCTGGTCAAAGTACTTTTCCACATGGTGATCAGGAAAGAGGGAGTACAGGGACCCTTGGTGCCGCTCCAGCACTGCTGGGGCTGTTTCCTCAGCCATGGTGCCTATAAAAACCAAAGACCACTGAGCTCAGACCCACAGCATCTTGCCCAAGGATGATGCCATCTTTTCTCACCGGGGTTCCTTCCTGTGATCAAATCAAGGAATTTATACAATTCCAATCTGGGTCTTATATTTTTTTAAATGACAACTTAAGTCAGAAGGAAGTGACACATTTTTAATTTGCTGAAAGAAAAAAAGTGTCAGCCTAGATTTCTATATTTAGTGAAAATATCCTTCAACAAACAGGGTGATTTAAAGACATTTTCAAATGAAGTGAAACTAACAGAATTTAATTTGTTTATAATGCAAAATAAAACTACACAGAGAGGTTCTAGTTCCAGATAAGGAGTACATTTTCACCAACCCCACTTTCTCCTACTGAACACAACTATACAACTTGGACAAAATGCATGGCTATTTGAGAACTCTGAAAAGTAAATATCAGGCAGCTCAGGGAAGAACATGAGAATTTGAAGTACCACCTAATTGGTGGTGAGTCCTCCATTTTATCCTCCAGTATGTCCCAGCCTGAACTCAATAAAACTGAAACTTGGAAGTGAGCACTATGGTGCAGACAGACAGAGATCCAAGAGAAACCCTCTAGGTCTGACTCAAGGAGTAGAAAAGGGAACTCTTGAGGTTCAGAGAGAGTGGAAGAAATTCCCTGGTTATTTTACAGTCTTTTCTCTCTACTCTTTTATGCACTAGTCCCCAGGCAATTCTGCAGCAAGTGTAGCAACAGCAGAGAGGTAGCCAGCAACAGGAAACTACAGGAATCAAAACTCTGAGGGAAGGGGACATTTCTCTCCACTTGGTGAAGCTACATCCCCAAAAGGGCAGAGTCAAACACTTTTGCTCTTCATAGCCTCCCTCTCTCTCTCTCTCTCTCTCTCTCTCTCTCTCT